GCAAGCATTTGAAACAGGTCAAGTGATTCAAGTCATTTAGATACTATGACATTTCATATCAAATGCGTATGAAGATTTTGAACAAAAAATTTTTCTTTCAACAGATCTATTCAAAAATAGTGTCGTTGTCTAATGCTTTGTCTAAATGATATATGTTAGAGGAAGTGTTTGATTGTAGTCAAAGTGTTGTTACAATGGACTGTGTTGAGAAAATAATTCGGAAAGATATGATAGATCCACTCAATGGAAAGCCAGTGAAGGATGGCGATATAATCGAGCTGCAGAGAGGTGGTACAGGTAAAGTACTGCGTAATTGCTATTTCCTTGGGAATTAGAATTGGTATTCGTAGAAGACGGGTATTTTCGAGCTGAAGAAACATGTTTAGTGTAAGTATTAAAGTGAGGGATCAACAAGTTGCCTAGAATATAAGGATCTAGAATAGCTATAATCAAATGCCAGTAGTGTAGAGAGTGATGCACCAAGAATCTTGGAAGCGAAGAAATTGGAGGGAAATAATATAGACCCAATGTAGTCGGAAAAAGTTTTACTTTGGTATATGGACTTTCAGAAATTTTCACATTTTTAGGATTTGCCTCGACCAATGAAGTGGAGGCCAAGTTGGTACGCCCTCAACTGGAGTTGCAGTGATACTGAATTTTTGTTGATCTTGTTAAGTGGTAATGTGCTGAAATACTTAATGTCTTAAAATCGTGATCGTATGAAATTCATATGTTTTCCATTTTCGATTGATGAGTTTTAATTTTGTTCGTTCTGATTTCGTATGGGGGTAAATTTTTGGAAAGATGGGAAGGAATTGTTGCAGAATGTATCGTATGTACGGTCTACTAGACTAAATTTCTGGAGCCTTCTGATTCCTTTCCAATTCATAGGGAAAAAGTAATGTTCTTTTAAATGTTTAATATCATTATTAGGTTTGGTTTTAAGCTTTCTTGCTTGCGTATGTCAGGTCAGATTTTAATGTTCCTTCTTTGCCTCAAAGAAGTAATGATATTTAATTAATTATTTCAACTTTGTGTAATTGTATTTTCCCACCTGTCGTTTTTTAATTTTCAATTTTGTTCGTAGTTTTACTCTTCAGTGCTTGAGATTGATAAAAGGTTTCGATTTTGGAGAACCATCATTATATTTTATAAGTTGAAGTTTCTTAATGAATAACTTAGTGATGAACTTTGAATACAGTTATTGATACTCTGAGTAACAAATGTATTTGGCGAAATTAATGTTTCAATTTTGACAAGTGAATGCTCGTCAGATCCAGTTTCCGTTTTCAATATTAAACTAATGATGGTATATTCGCCATCATTAAATTGGTTCTGAAAGACTGAACCTGACAGAAGAGATTCTTATTCAGGAGTTGCTAACACTAATATTAATACTGAAATCCGGATTTGTTTTTCTGTATTCTGGATGGTTGCTGTTTTTGAACAATTTCAATAAGAGAGGATGAATAAGTTTTTAAAAAGTGGTTTTCAGTTGTAGGTTCAGAAATCTCTAAGAATGTAAGGGCTTTATAAGGTGCTGGAGCAAATAGTATTTGTGGTAATCAAATGCTTAATTCTTCATGGTGGCTGATAATCTAGTTTTGCAGATGGCAGATGTCATGCAAAATAACGATGGATTCAAGAGGCCCACGATGCCTTTGGCTGTTGTTGGTAAGTTCTTCCTTCCTTTAAATTTATTTTTCATATAATGATTTCGAACCTAATTTAATTGGTGGTATCAATTGTTGTTGCGATATACTCTTCCCGTATATATGAACCACTTTCGTTCTATTTAGTATTTCTTGTTACGACTGAAAGACTGCAGAAGATAGCTGCAACTATAAAGCTAACTGCAGGAAGGATGAATAGGTCTCTAGGAGTAAAATAATTTAATTCCAATGGACTTGAGGACTGAAAAAGCCACGCTTGGAAGTTGTTTCGAATGGACGACCACAATCCATTCCACGTACGTCACATTTGATGGCTCCCATAATGTTACTTAGTGGTCATGATGGTGAAATTTATACGGCTAAGTTTAGCCCGGATGGAAGTTGCTTGGCATCCGCTGGTTTTGACATGACTGTTTGTAAGTTATCTGTGTCTGTTTTGTTTGTAATTTTCTATGCTTATTCTGAGTGCCATTTGAATCGCTTGCTTTAGGTATTATTTCCAACTAGAAACGACCATATATAGGCTTTTTGTTGATGTCTTCAACATATCATTTCATCGGTTTTTTTATTAAATCATTCCTGATTAGTACCATCTGATCCAGTCAAAACTTAGCATTTTATAACACAGAAGTGCATACTTTGAATTTCAAGATGTTCCTTTTTCATGCCTTTTGATCAATCATATTTTATATGTAATTTTAGTTCTATGGAACGTTTATGGTGAATGCGAAAATTTCTCAACCTTAAAAGGGCATGCAGGAGCAATAATGGATCTTCATTTTAGTACTGATGCCGGGTGAGGAGTACTTCTTTTTTGGTGGTACCGGAAGTAAGTGAAGAAAAGTAGTGAGAAACTTTTGTAGAAAGCTTTAATGAAACTTTCTGGAATGCATTTTTTATACTTTTATCAAAATTATCGATCAGGAATGCTTAGGAAAACTTTCGTCATTGTAATTCCTTCCTCTGCTACCCAAATTTAATTTGATGTATTTTTTTTTTGATGTGTCTGATGTATTTTTCTTTTTTCAGTTACCTGTTTACGGCATCAACAGATAAGACAGTACGTGTTTGGGATATGGATACAGGAACATGTGTTAGGAAGTTCAAATCCCATAAGGATATTGTAAACAGTTGCCATCCTGCACGACGTGGACCACAGCTCGTTGCCAGTGGTTCTGATGATTGTACTGTACTTGTAAGTTTCAATGTAAACATCAGAATTAAGTAATGAGGAAAAGTGACCTTGATCAGTATTTCGAAATTATTTATGTTACTCTTTTGAAAGATTAAAGATGAAAATAGCCTATGTCTTTTTTCGTCGTTAAGCATTTCGTAAACTAATGAATGCTTATGTTTTTCAGATTCACGATATACGCAGACGAGATCCCGTAATCACTTTGCAAAATGCCTACCAGATTACAGCTGTAACTTTCAATGACACAGCTGAACAAGTCATTGGTGGAGGAATCGATAATGACATTAAAGTAATTTTGCGGAAATTTTGAGTTTTAGAACAGATTGTTAGAAACAGCCGTTGAATTTGTAGCTGCCGCATGTCCCGTAAATTATTTGACAACTTTTGTCTAAATTTTAGGTGTGGGATCTACGACGAAATGAACTGGCGCATGTAATGCGCGGTCATACTGATACAGTTACTGGTTTATCATTAAGTCCAGAAGGAACACATGTGCTCTCGAATGCAATGGATTGCAGTTGTAATTTGTTTTGCTATGTTTTTCTCTTTACCACTGTTTTGCTTTATTGTACAATCAAATATCCTCGAGCTTGACTTGAAAGAGTAGCTTATTTCGAGTGGTTAACTGAGCAGATCTGCATTTTATCTGACAAGATATTATTGAAGCATTTCTGTATATATTGAGGCGAAAATTGACAAACTCAATTGCAATTATTTCAGCAAAAATCTGGGATATCAGGCCATTTGCACCTGAACAGCGATGTGTGAAATCGTTTGCCGGGCATCAACATAACTTTGAAAAGGTATTCTTTGACTGTTGTAGGAAATTTATGTTTATTTGATAACATTGGCCGATTTCATAATAAATTCTTCATTTATTAAATGAATAAAATGAATTTTCATTTACTAAATAACTAAAGTAAACCAGAAATAAATGAAAAAAATAAATGATAAAATAAATGGAAAGTAAATTTTCATTTATTAAGTAAAAAAATCAATGAACAATATACTCATTCTAAATGCTTGATCTATTTGTTTCCTTTTCTACTTCTTTTTCGAGTTCTGGACAGAGAGAAATTCTTGGGCAAAATTCTCAACTCTCATTTGCAGAATCTGTTGAAATGCACCTGGTCGCCTGATAATAATCGTATCAGCTGCGGTTCCAGCGATCGGTATGTTTATGTTTGGGATGTTTCTTCGCGGCGAGTACTCTACAAATTGCCTGGTCATCAGGGATCAGTTAATGCAACTGATTTTCATCCAAAGGAGCCAATATGTAAGTATTTTTCGCTAACTTGTTTATCGTTTTTCGAAATTCCATTCTGCATTTCTGAATTTGCTGATTCCTTGCATAATTTTAGTAATTACACTTTGTTTATGGAAAGATAGCGAGAGATGTAGATTTAAAGACTTTGTTTTCCTAATTCTGGAATATAAAACTGTCCAATCCAGTGCCTTGCTAATTTAAAGAAGATGCTGATGAAGTAGGCTAGATTTTTGAATGTTACATGTGAAGTCTACTACACGCTTTCGATTCATTTTTATATTATTTTTTATATTATCAAGAGGATTCTAATTTCAGTGTTATCAGCGGGAAGTGATAAGAAAATATACCTCGGGGAGATTGATAATCAGTGATCTCATTTTATTGCTGTTGTTTTTTCTATTGTTATTTATTTGTAGCGTGATAAGGTTTTACTTTCGTAAATCAATAATTCATATTTCTCGAAAATTGTTTTATTAAAACATATTATGCTTTTATTGAATTTTAGTAGTTGGGAGTATAGCTTTTATATAGAAGTCTTGATTCAAGAGCCCTCCTAATTCCTATTGTTTGGATACTTTGTAGTAATAAAAAGTTTTTTTTTAATGAACGACAAGTGTATTGCATTCAGAAGTTATTATACATGAAAATTTATTTTGAAAGTTTCAGAGAAAAAATCTCTGACGAATAAGATTTAAAGATTTGTCAAAGACTTTACTAACCATGTACATTTTTGAAAATTTCTATTTACTGCGACGTTTTGTCATGGTAGGACGTACAAGTGCTAATTTTCGTATGAGTTCTTAGCATGCATATGCATAAACAGTCTTACATATAACTTCAGTTTTCACAAGTATTGCAGGATTTTCTCAGCATCCGCAACTCTTAAATTTATTTTGAAAAGAAGTTGAAAAGTGATGATAACGATGTATTTCTCTTATTTGTAGGCATCTAAATAACATGAAGTAGCGATGAATAAGTGGTCACCTTTTGGGTTATTTCTATTTATATCATAGAAATTCTAGGACAGTATGAGTAGAAATGTTGGTATCCTTAGGCAAAGTGCACAAGTATTCATTTCACGATCGCAAAATATTTTCGAGAATTTAGCGTTTGAGGAATGGTTGCTGCGGAATCGTAGACCGGATGAGGAAAGTGAATCGATGTTAATTTGGAGGTATATTTTGCTATGAATTTTAAAAGATAAATTGAGAAGGGAAATTTAAGGTTTCATCTGATCAGAAATAGTAGGTTTGGTAGTTTGAATTTTACGGCTAGCTGAGGAACCAAATTAGCATAAGGTAATGTTTTCTTAGGTTGGTTTCAATTATTCGAGAATAAGTACAGTAATGTTTCATCACTGTTCAATCCTTCCTGCTCTTATGGTGATATAGGGAGAAAGTGATGTTCAAATCAGTGGTTAAATTACTGTGTGCTGTCAGTTTATTCCTGAATATATTTATCATCGTGGAAAATGCGAATTTTGCAATGAATTTTCAGCAACAAACCAGCAGTAGTCATTGGGCGTCATCAGAATCCATGGCTAGAAGCAGATTTAAACTATTTAAAATCTAACAATATTGAATTAGTTAGACGTCACAGTGGTGGTGGAGCTGTTTACCACGATTTGGGTTAGATGTTCAAAGTTAGCGTTAATGTTTGAAAAATTAATTTGCATATTCATCTATGTTTCAGATTAATCCGTTACCATGTTACATGTTACGTTGTTTTCAGGTAATCTTAATATATCCATATTGACATCATACCAAAGACATGATAGAAAAAGGAATTTACGCATGGTAGCTAAAGCACTCAGTGAAGAATTCAATATCAAAGTACTCTTTCTTCTTCAAGACAGTGATAAATGAGGGAGATTATGAATTCAAAAGGGTTTAAAATAAGAACTGATGAAAAGCTAAATTAAAAGATGGAGACGAACTCAGTTTGAGGAATAGTTCAAGCTCGTTGATCGCTGTGACTTTTGCTTTTTTGGGAATCATTTCTTCCTTGTTAAGTCATACTTTGGATTTGAAATATAAGCATATTTTATTCAGGTGCAGCCGAATGACCGCGACGATCTTTGGCTACAACCTGGCCAACGGAAAATCTCAGGAACAGCAGCGCGAATTGTTCGCCAAGTGGCATATCATCATTTTACATTACTTATAAATGTTGATGTTGCTATCCTAAAACGTTCTTTATCGTCTCCTTTTCGTGTAAGTTTGCTTTCCGTACAAAGTTTTTTGAAATGCTAACCGGAATGTTTATTTCGTACAAAACTCATCTCTTATACTTCAGTTTCCGTATTTCGAGATTCAGGAATGATGTCCGACACCTGGTTATGTGCATTATTAATGGATGCGTTTGTACTTATTAACCTGGCATTAACCTCTGTGGGATCTTTGGTCAAAGTCCAATTTCGAGGAACCATCACGTCCTGAGCTAATATATTTCTGAGCATGAAACGTTTTGTGTAAATGACATTGTTTAAGGAAACGATATTAACAAATGCTACTCGAAGTGTACAAGCACCAGAAGTTGGCTATTTAGCCCAAGAGATTCCTGATATTACAACTGAAAAAGTGCAGAATGTTATAATGAAATCATTCAAGAAACAGTATTTGGTGAGATTACACATGTTTTATGCTTTCATATATAAACGTTTTCATTATCTTCGCAGGAGATATTCATCAATTTTTACAATCTGAGTTCCGTTTCGAGGCGAAATTTGCTTGATATTTATCATTTCAGCATACCGATGTTACTATACTTTCGGACGTAATGAATGATCAGGAATTTCCGGGTGTATTGGAATGCGAAAAAGAGTTACGAAAGTGGGAATGGATTTATGGTAGAACACCTCAGTTCACTCTGCCACTTTACAGCGACCGAATACGGATTGAACACGGTGTAATTACTAAAAGCTTGGAGAATCAAAAATTAGTCGGTAGCCAATTGTCGGAAAACGTAATGCAGACCTATTTAGGTTTCGCTGTTAAACCTATTCTTGGGACTGATACAGCCAAATACCTGGCTGAAATGAAGGCTTATTTATGTGAAATTCCGAAAGGTTACGATCCGAAACTTATTGCCTTAAATGCTACCGTAGTTGCCACTCTTTTTGGTGCTTTAATCTATCCTTTTTATGCTTACTTGACTGGTAATAATACTGTTACTGAAAATAAAGAAACTGTTTAAAAAGTTTGTTTCATTTAATATATTATGCAAAGATTTGTCTCCCATCCTGGCAACATCTTGTATTTCATATTCAGGATACGTCCGAAATTTGCATGAAAGAATTTGTGTAAGTATAAGCATAGTAGATTTGTTAGTCGAAAAATTTTAACACTTTCTGGAAAATGCTGTGTTTAAAACTCTGAAATCATATGAAAGTATAAATACAACAGACATACAACAATAAACTTATATCAAAAGCACTCTCTTTCCAATACATTTTCAGGAGCTTTTCAGCATTTAGATTATTCATACAAACTATTATCATAATCTAAATTCACTACATGGATGTAAATTATTTCAGGAATCTTACTAAGAGACCAATGAGAGCCACATAACAATTGATGGTCCGATACCAGAGTTATTGATCTCAATAAGCTCATTAATTATATTTCAAAAAGCTTACTGATGCCGTGTAATTTTATGAGGCTTAGATTACAATTAGTTATTTAAATGATATATTAGTTTCCCACATTGTTTTATGTCAGTGCTATCTCTTTGTTCGTTTCGTCTTCCCTTCTTCCCAGACTATTATTTTTTTTAACTCACACAGAAATAATCACAATATTTCAAAAGAATTCGATGAAATTTTCCTAAGTTATTCTTGAGAACAGAAATGTCTTCCAAGTTATGCCGTAGATATGGTGATATTTCACATTAAAAAATTGTACTATTAAAGTAATGGATAGATAGGAAAAGGTATCGATTTACTAATCAACGTATAAATTATATAACAGAATCTAAAGAATATTATTCTCCACAAAATCACAGTTGATGTACTCGCAGCAATGAGTAACAGTATTTCTCAAATCAGTATCTACTCAAGGAACGAATGCATAAGGTAACTAATTTTCTTCAAAGAGGATTTGCTAAAGATGGAATATATAAAAATATAAATATGAAAATAACAGATGAAAACGCCTTACTTATTATTTTATACAAATAAGTGTCTTAACACATAACAAAACAAATCAAGAAAAAAGAGATTGTCAAATAGGAAAAGACTTATTGAGGAGCACATTCACTACAATATTTCTCCTTCCAAAGTTAATATATTAAATGCCGTAAGCTCAAACTGGTACAGAAAGGTGTAATAATGCCACGTGTACAAAAGTAAAAGATTAATCCGCAAAAAATCGAAATCGGAAGGGCTGGTAATGCTTTACGGAATACAGCCAACAGTATGAGTGTAAAACATAGACCCTGAAAAGTGCATAATTAAATTTGTGTTATAGAATTTAGCTGTGTGTAAGTCGTGATGATTCTTAACACTAAAAAAGTTTTTAAATTCGGGAAAGATTTATGCTTGTAGTGCTCACAATATCTGAAAAGTTTTAAAATATGGGATGCAACTGCACAACGTCAATAGTCAATCCCAACTTCCTTGTATTGAAGCTTGACAGATAACACAGGCTTTTTTTGAATTTATCGTCATATACGAGCGTGACTTACGTGAAGGCGAAATAAATGCTCATAAAAAATATAAATGCAAATGAAGCAACTTACAATGAGAATTGCAACATAGCAAGCTATTGTTGTATTCCAATCACCATAACTACTTGCTTTTCCAACCAATACACTGTAGAAGATAAAATCACCTAGGCCAAGCTTGATGCCTTCTACAATAAAAAAAATCCTGGCAAAGTGGATGTCGAAATAAATATAACTCGTTCTCTCAGAACAACTGATCATCTACACCTCTTTAAGCGGCTCTTAAATATCCCATTGTTTCTCAATCTCTTCCAAGATGTACCATTTTTTGATCTATTCCAAAATGCACCATTTTATGATTCCTGCTTTAGTAGACGTTACTTAAGGACTCATGAAGTAAGAGACCAGAATTTTGAAGGAATATGAAATATGAAGAGTGTCAGTTATTAACATTTGATTACCACAAGTTAAATTCCAGGAATTTCTTACTTTCATCTGGAAATCTTGGATCCTGCAATCTATCTGGATCAGCTTCGGCATTATCAGCAATTACCACTCGTGTTCTACTACTTTCGCCACCTTTACTGAGTAATGCAGTGGCCCGATCTTTTTTGACACCTTTTGAACTGAAAGCAATTCCTCCTTTTCAGAAAAACCGATGCATACATTTCCATCCAGAAACTCTTTCAATGTCCAAAAACTTTTTCAAAGAAAAAAACGGTTCGAAATTTTCAATATGATCGGAAATAAAAACATACTTATTATCCATATGTTCTTCTGCATTCAAGCTAGCATTTGCTACGCCCTGATCTAAAAATTGAAAGAACTTTAGCCGACCAAGACAGGCATGAATGCAGCAAATTTACTTATTTCACTTATACTTGATGGGCCATTTTTCGAGAATTTATATCATGCAAAATGATGAAATGTAAAACTAGGTATTTAGCATCTGGAACTATGTCTTTTAGCACTAAAAGATAGGCATCAGAATCGTTAACAGCATCTATAAAGTGTAAAATCTCTGAACTCTTTATGAATTTCTCAATTCAATAAAAAGGACACCATCTAGAAAAAGTTTTAACAGGAACTTCCAACAAAGAAGGAATAGTCGTGAGAGAAATAAAATGAAAAATGATAAAAAACCACACCTGTACCACTGGTAGCACGCATCGGAGCAAATCGTCGTATGATTTTTCCTTGAGGAAATCCTCGCTTTTCATTAGCAACAGTAGCTGGAAGTAATTCAGCCGTTGATGGCAGTGAATTATCCGCTGAACTAGTTGCGCTTCCTAGCAATATAAATGATGTTTCAAACTTATCTAAAGGATTGAAATTTTGATTGAAAAAGAATGATTCTTGACACTTTATGCAAATTAATATATACGATAATATAAATGCGTTATTTCAGAACAATAGAAATTTGAAACAGAAAACATACCATGATTACCAGAATTTGACTGAGTATTTCTTGTAACACATGAAGTATCCTGTTCCATCGTAGTTGCACCAATTAATGTGTACGCGTAAAGCAAACCAGCTCAAATTAAAAACAATTTTCAAAAAAAATATAGATCACGACTTACTCTCAATGCCACAACGGTTCCAAAGAATAACGAGTCAAAACCTGAAGTCAAATAATATAAGCAATTTGCTAGCTATCCTATTTACCCCCCTTCTAGACGTCACTCCAATCTTTATCATCACCCAACAATAACTATTTATTTCCCTCGAAGATAAACTGCATGGAATGGAGGACTGAGTTACAGTGGATTAGTGTTCGATAAACAAAGGTAATATCATTTCTTCTGATCTGTGGGATTAACTTGCGTATTACACAACAGCTGTACAACTCTAAGATAATGTCCATCAACAGCATACTCTTCTGAGGAAGATGCTGACTCATATTTTCTTGCGTTCTTCTCCAAAGTTTATAATTGAAATAACATTTCCGAATACAAATCTACTCACAGGAATAAATAAGTGCTGGAAATATCGGTTCATTTCGCTCTTGGGCAGTCTCGACAAGTATCCGTAACGGTCCTTTTGGACAAAGTACAGCGATAAGATCCCAAATAGAAATAACGGCAAGAACAGTCCACACTGTCCATTCTGGTAAATATTTGATGAAAATGAGCGCCATCAGTGCTGACATCATTATTAAGTAGCCCTAAAAAAATAAAATTTCATCGAGCTTGTCACTGAAGAGGAACGAGAAATGAGCATTTGACGGTCAAGTGAATAAATTATTTAACAGATCAGGAAGAGAGAAGAATAGCATGTAACGAATACAAAGGCGGTAGGTCAGCAGCAGTTGTAAAGATCATTCCTGATTGGTCAAAATGCCGTAAATGCTATGCATGCATGGAAACCAAAAAAAGTATGTTATTAAGTTCTTCAGCTATAGCTGTCTGGTCATTTGTTGCAATGGAGCTTATAGTTAGAATGAACATTAGATATAACCATGCAACCAAAACAAATCAAAATGTTAGCTTTCTTAAGTCAACAAGCTGGTTAGACTGTCAAATCCTTTCTATATCAAATTTTTCCTAGAGCAGATTTTTTCGTCATTACAAGTCACCTTAAACAGAAAACTGATAAGCCTACCTGCTGCATTCTTAAAGGGCCTTTCCAATGAATGCAAATCATTCCCATTACGCCATAATTCCAAATAAAAACACAAATCAATATATAATCAACTGGCACGTTGTAACTCTTGAAAACTTCTCTGAAAAAGATTTTTTTTTTTGATGATCGACTGGTGTTTCTGACTTCTAGTAATGGATTACATCTTGTATTGCGCCCATTTCTTGAGACCGATTCAATCATCCATTTCACTGAGTTCAGTTAAGAATAAGGTCAACTAATATTTTGGAACACTTGACATTAAATGAAACACTTACTGCAAGTACATGAATGTGAAAAGAGATAGTAATATCAGACTGCTCAATATCAACCACGCACTGATGATCTGAAATTTAAGTACCATTGCAAAATATAGCACTTCTCAAAATAGCGCTGATTTATAAGATAGCCATTCCTTTTGATCAGTACGGATACAATGGTAGGTCTGCGATAACGTCACTGATACAGTAAAATCAATACTGAGGAACAGGTGATAGAATAACATTAACCTTCTTTCATAATTAAAATCAAACAATAAAACAAACCCGATAAAACCGGAATTTGTAAAGAAGAATTAATAAAATGGTCATTGTCATCACCACACCCAAAATAACAAACGCGTTTCCGAATGACATTATTAACTTTTCACCAGTATCATCAGTTTCCTTCGTAAATGGAGTGTAAATTCTGAATATTTTACAAGTATTAGGTATCAAAAAATAAAAATAACTATGGCGGAATTTTGTAATTTAATTGTATTACAGCATTATTTTGCCACACGAAACACATGTGATAATAATGGGTTTTAACATAATAATTTAAAATCCATATAATTTTGAAATAATTTTTAACTTGTTTTTTTTGAAGCAATTTCTTATTTTCGGACTATATAATTCTGCAAAATTGGGAAATTCTCGAAAATTTGTGGTACCACTATTTGCTTCTTGATGTTAAAAAAATCAAGAGACTTTTACAGAGTAGATGAAACTTAAAAATGCTATTTTTTGATTTCTTGAAATCTTAAGATTTCCAAGTGCCGAAACGAACAGATTGTTTCTCATACCCTCAACAGCACATCAACTGTTTAGAATTTTTGAATCCTTCAAGTTATATTTATGCAGTTCATTTATTTACAATAATTCTTACAAATATTGGCCGTCTTTGCGAGTATAATAACCAACAGTGTTCATCGTGAATATAACGAACACCATACAAATGGAAACCGGAACAAAGAGATGGATAACGTGTTGCGCGCCGTATTTAAATTCCAACTCTTCTTCATCATCGTCCACTTCTAAGAAAAACAGAGAGCACTTTGCCGAAGTAGGGAAAAAGTAAAAGAGACTTAGAAGATAAGTACGAATACTTGAATGAAGTATAAGCAGCAATATTGGGCTTTTAAACCCGTGATGCCTAATGAACGGCTCATTTTCTTTGTGGTTCTCGACAAAACGTTTTTATTTACTGAAGCAAGGAAACTGAATTGTAGCCTGAAATATCCGAAACAAATTTTACTTGTCCTGATCGATCCAAGCGTTACTCCTAATGCCACTGTCATGATGACATATACAGTAAACTTTTTATTCTGAATATACAGCTCCTTTTCTAGAATAATATGCTTCATTAACTATGTATTCTCTTATCCTTTACCAATGATCCGTTTCGCTAGTAACCAAACAGGGATTTTATTCAAAAACAAAAGAATTACAAACTGTTATTTTATCCTGGAATAGCATGAAGTCAGCAAACACGACCCGATTTATCCTAATACTCAAATCTGCGAGACTTTTCGTAATTCCAAAGTAGGGATTTCACATAAAGACATTTCTTTTCATACTACTTTCCTACATAATTACGATTTAGATCAATATTTGTCATTATAATAAAATCATACCATGTGTTGCATTTCCAACAGTTTTAGATCTTACAGTATCGCCTTCTGCATGAGAATGTCGTGAAAGATGCTGTTTGCTCGACTGCAAAATTACCCAATCATTTCATTTCATATATCAATTTAAAATAACTTCGTCTTAAAAAATAATAAATAATTTGATCTTAGTATTACAACAATGACTGAAGTGACAAAATGTGAACGGACAAGTTGATTTAAACTCTGGGATTGAAAGCGAAATTAGAAATGAAATAGCAGATGGTCCAAAATTTGCAATATAAATGCTCATTCAGATACAAACTGAACTTGCAGCAAGAGCCTTACAACAGATTTCCTTCCTTTCTTTTGCGATAATATTGTCCTACTTATCCCGACAAGGTTCTTTATCTTTCTTAATAATTCTATCAATCATCATCGCGTATAAATAAAATTATAAATAAAGTTGAAAAATAAATAAAATAAATAAAATTGCCTAATAAAATAAAAGCAAATAAAATAAATAAAAATAAAATGAATGAAAATAAAATAAAATAAATAAAATGCGCATAAATAAAATTGCTAATTATATTCTTGAAGATACACTTTCCAAATAAGAAGTCATCTCAATTGGAATCATTTAATCAGCAAATTAATAATCAAATAAAATCATTGATGGATTTCCTGAATGATAAATTAGCATTATTAAATATGACTAGCCTGAATTCTTGATTCGTTGATTGCTTCATCCTCATTCAACCCTGATGCCGTTTGCTGTGTTGACATTTCTTCGCAAACGTTCCCGATCACCTATAAAATGATTACAGCATGGACAAAACAAAGACAAAAATATTTTTCTTGCGTTGTAGCGTCATATCATTAACTTTGATGCAAGGAATGTGAGCAATATGCATACAATTTGTACTACGCACATGGGTAACACAAAGGTAGCATTTTCCTTGCGTTCTGGCTCATGTCATAAAATCGTTTTAGCTCATGTCGTGAAATTCTATGAAGGTGAGAAATCCGATCAATAAGCGTACAATTTATGCATGTATTTACCACGAACACGTCACATAGATGTCGCAGAGAATGGCTTGAAATAACAAAATACGAGACTCCTCACGTAAGCGTGTACGTTGACAACTAATCCTTATAGTATCCAAAGGATGCAACTAAGCCACAAATAGCATTCGTCAAAAGTAATATCCCGAAAACGCAAACGTCAACCAATAAACGTAACATCTCTTACTACTTCTCACGTCATACGTGAAACTTTCATTTCCTCCATCACCCTGAGACTGAAATATTTCATTATACCACCCCTACAATATGCCATACATTTTCGGTTCTACATTCTTTACGTCAATTGACGTGTTGCGTTTATGTGAGAAGTGTGGTTTTGCGGTACAGCTATGACCAGTGAATGTTTTATTTACGTGACGATTACCGCCAAATGCGCAAATATCACTGATCGTAATGCACATGTAGTTATTGCTGTTGTGATTGCTCATAGTACTTACGTAGATAACGACATAAATAGTAGCGGTTACACGTCCGTTCGCAATTCTTACAGCAAAATGTTGTTAAAATAATTGTAAAAATAGCTATAGTCACGTTTGTATGTTATTTCGACAAGTTTTATTGGGTTGAATGGTAAGAAATATATAGATAATATACCGACAAGCGATGAATGATTGAGAAAAATTGGTTACTAACAACTAGTAAGTCAAAAACAGCTGCTGATATATCGATGATTAACGAAATTCATCTATAAATAGCCAAGAAATAGTACCGATGATAAGTGTCCGAAGAGAGAGAGAGAGAGAGAGGAGGAGAGAGAGAGAGGAGGA